GCTCTGACAAGGGGCTAACGCTCAAAACGTCAGCTTTTGTAATCATTATGGTGGCCAATTTACCACTTCAACTTTGTTGATATATCCAAGTTATTTCGTTACTCCCACCGACGCAGCCCCAAACAGTTTCTTTCGAAACTATCAGCCTAAAAATACAGACCCTGGTATTTATTTTGGATATATCAACAAAGTTGAAATGGTAAATTGGCCACTGTAACAATTACAAATTTATTTGTAATTATCATTGATTCAGAGTTATTTGTTTACTTAATAGGAAGTGTAAAGACTTGACTTGATTTATTCCCTTCCAATCCAAGTAGAACACAGGTCCATGGAAACTGGTCATAAATATTGCTATGATTAACCCAGATATAACTTCAAGTATGCAAAGAAGGCGGTTAAAAGCTATGCTGATACAAAGCCCTATATACTGAAATGCAATTCCTGTTCATAGTACATAATTAGAACTTCTTTTTTTTTTCCAAGTATTCAACTCGATCACAAGTCTGTTCACTCAAAGTGTTCCTCATAATTATGTACTCTCACCTTTATTCCAAATGTGAAGATTGTGATGATAATCTTGAAAATCATGGCTAAAATCAGCTGCCAAATGGCTTTGTGAACACCATCCCCTGCCGCAGCTCCAGGCCAATTGGGATCATTAACATTCAGTGTGGAATTCAAACTTTCAGTTTGGTAGTCACTGATCATAAGAAATTAGAGGAAAAAAGGTCAAAAGTCTGTTCTTAGTTGTTCCTAATGGATAAGTAAACTGTGAAACATTGTAGAGCTGTTGCTACTTTGTCCAGATGAGAAAAGAAAAACTGCTTACTTCTCTGTTCCCACATTACCTTGGGTTACAATACCAGAGTTTCTAAAAAGTCAATTTTGAGCAGTTTTGGAGTCAAGGAAGTTAGGGTGACAGGGCTGAACAATGAAATGCTACATCAAAGGAGTATGCAGTCACCGACATGGGCTCAAGGTGTTCTAGGTCTAAAATTTAGTGAAATTAGCGGAAAATAATGAGGGCTGGCATTTAAAACTGAGGAACTTTGTTTTTGTCAAAGGCATTTTCTATTTTCAGAGGTTTTAAGGAGTAAATTAATTTTTGAAAATTTTTAGGGGGTGTACCAAGTTTTTGGAGGTTGTTCTATAAAAGAAAAGCGGCAAGGAAAACAACGCCTTGAAGCAACAGAATAGGAAATCAATCCTGCAAACTACTCAAAAACCTGTTTTCTGTGGCAAAACATAGTGCATGCTTATATGTTATTCAGCTCTGTCAGTTAAGGTTCTTTCCTGATTCTATCACTTCCTCACTCTACTAGGAGGGGCTTGGTTGGCTAATGTAAAAAATCCTAACATGGGGGGGAAAGACCTAATCCTGACAAATTCTTACTACAGAACCAATATTTACATCAATTTTATAATTACTATTTGTTTGAGGTGCCACTCATTAGTTTGAATCTCTTTTAATAAAAGCTACCCATAGCAGTCTACTCTAGTCAAGTGCAAAACAGAGGTCTGGAGTGCACATAAAAATTCAAAATGTCTAACAACAAGTTAGGTGATGAACTCAACCACTACTGCTTGAAATATGTAAAAATATGTTTACCATAGTTCTGACGAATCATCAGGGCCCCACTGACTGAACAGATGTTTGATGAGAACACTACTGCTTTGCCTGAAAACCAAGTTTTTAAAAAATACAATTATATTAACATCTTGGTCCATGGTTTGCAATTTCCACAGGCCATCTTCTAATCATGATTTCAAGATTCTTTTTACTCAGAGTTTAAACAAGACAACGTTACACTGAGTATCATGGGAACTTCATGCACTGTAAATTTAAATCGAAAACTACAATCCTTACTAATCTTTGCCAGGAGAAAAAGTCATTGAAAACATTTGTCAGTGTGTTTACAGACGTATCTAATGTAAATATCATCATGCAGTTTTAAGTCTTTTGTATGTGTCAAGTATTTCACGTAACCGACTTAACTTGAAATTCAATAACAAAAAGCCACTAGGAGCATTCCATCTGATCTCCCTGGACATAATTCGAGTACATGACCCGTTATTCACCCCCCTCCTCCCCCCTAGAATTTCACAGACTCAATCTAACTGATACCTCTGATTCAGCGGAAAATTCACATTGAAAGATTGCCATAAATATGTTTGGATTTGGCAGATTTATTTTAACCCACTGTGAAATAAAATATATCAAAAAAATCCCCCTCTTACCTAGAATATGGATTAGGGTAAGCTAACACTGCGGTCACAAGGGTCACAAGTACAACCTGAAGAACAACAAATAAAAGGCAGAATGGAGTCATGCTAAGCCTTAAATCCAAATCTATATATTTCCCAGTCAGTGCTCAAGCAGACTGTGAGGTGAAGCACAAAACTCATCATTCATTTCATGATGGCATCAATCATTATTTTAATTAATAATTCTAATAGACACCTTGGAGCAGAAAAAACAAAAACAAAATAAATGGGCCATTACGAAATTACCTTCAGTTTCTTTGTCAAAATGAGGCCTGGTGCTCATTTTTAAACCATTCTGGTGAATATGATTTTAATTTACATGTGAATGAAAACTTAATATTACATAAAAGTATGAGTACCAGGGCTCACTTAAGAAAGAGGCTAAAGGTAATTTGGAAATGGGCTGTTGAAATCCTCTTCCTGGAAACATTTGAACCCTTTAAAATATAAAAGCATTTCCCAGAGAGATACCAACATGATCAACAACAGCATGAATAGCATTTTTAAGCATTGGATGTATCTCTTATTCTAAATTCCATATCAATTCACTGAAAAGTGCAAGAAATTCGTATAAATTACTCCTGACATGATATTGACACCATCTGGATTTATGGCTTGTCTCTTTTTGATTAAAATCAGTTTGAAATGTCCAGCACTAGCCATGTTCACTTTCATTGGTAGTTGTTAATTATTCCCATATTCACAAATAGACATCAAGCAGGTTAAAGCATAAACTTACTTCTACTAGAGGATATCTCCCCAGTTTTGAAGTTTTCCTGAGTTTACAATACCACAAGTTGGCTTTGATAAAGAAAGCACCAACCAATCCCTAGAGCATGAAAGGAAAACAAACTGAAAGTTTCACTTAAGGTTGCTTAATATATAACACAAAACTCTCTTGGCACAAACTCCTCATATTGAATTATTAATGCCTTTTCAAAAGATCTGATTATCAATTATTCCCTCTAGCTGCTATGCATTTCTTTGCAAATTAGTTACAAGAATTTGGTGTTACATCAAAGTAACTTCTACCTGGTAAGTTTGAGTATTCTCATTACCTGTTTGCTGGACAATTTATGGATATTATAGGGAGAAGTTACATATTGGTCACTTCTGGGAGTTTAAGGGTTAAATTCTTTGTCAATATCCTTCAAATAAACCAGCTCTCAAGGACTGAAACAAATTCACTTCAACGCCCCTTGGTGTTTAAGTAAAATGTTTATTCTGATCTAGAATAGTCATGACCATAAAAAAGAAAAAAAACTCAACCAAATTTTAACCAACTTAAGACTAACCCCAAGAGCACCTAAGAATATGAATGGAACAAGTTCAAACAACTTCCAAGGGTTGTCATATTCAACATAGAACATCACTAAATGACCAGTTCCAAATGGATTCATGTACTTCAGTGTAAAGGCAGCAATCATGGCACAGAAGAAAGATCTCCACAATGTCTTCATTGGGAAGTAATAGCTGACCTACAGTAGAAAGCAAAAAGCAAAACTGAGTTTTTCTTTGAAATTTATTATCTTTTTAAGTTATAAATTAAATTTATCCTGCATTTCAACATCTTAAATGGGAGACAAAGTGGCATCATGCTTAACCTGTTGGCCCGGGTTGTTGAAAGGTTGGATAATATTCTGCACCAGATATATCTCTATCTGGTGAATAGCACAGTACATTTTCCAATCAGTCATCCAGTAGGTAGCAATTTATCCATTACATAGTGTTATCTGCCTTTTATACAGCTGGGACCAGGACTTTAGGTTGTGAGGTCTCCATTAGACCCATGACCAAGTAATTGTGATATCATTGCAGGCAAGACAATTAGCCTTGCAGTGCTTCTCCCCACCTAGGAGCAAAACTTAGCACAGGGGAGGTGTAGGTTAAACCTGGCAAAATACTGACCCAAGGGGAGGAAGGGAGAGAGGATGATTTACAATGGACAAACAGCCCATCTGGGAGAAGTAGAAATACTTCAACTTGCTTTTAAGGCTGCTGATCTGTGATAAGCTTAAACAATGTGGCTGAGAGGATTTTTCATAGAAGAGGTCTGACCGTAACCTGGGTGTTGCAGCCTGCTGTCTTTCTCTGACCCACAAACATTAACAAAAAAATAAGAGTGAAATTCAGCTCTTCAATAGTTACCTCTTCCAAACTGAATAGAACACCACCAATGGGGGCACCAAATGCCACAGAAACACCAGCTGCTGCAGCAGCTGACAGCAACTGCAAAAAGCACATCAGAACAATTGACAATTTACAAGAAAAAAATAGGTTTGATTAAGTTTCTTGAATCAGCAGCTACTTAAAGGTAAAGGTCTCTATTTCTCTAAACATACGTGTTTAGTTACAATTTTAAGGTTGAAATCAGACAGGCGCCTCTGGCAGCCGTGTTTAGTCCGTAGCGATTTCACCTACCCACCAACCCACCCTAGGGAGGATATCCATCACACAGTAATCTCATGCGTGGGAAATTAACATCTCCTACCCCAACCCTGCAGGAGACGGGACCTCCATTTATTCGTCCCTATCCGAGAAGACTAGAATATCTAACCATTTCTTCATGTTAAAGAAAGGAAGCATATTCTTCTCAATTAATTTTAAGACCCTGAATGTTGGTCCGGCCGGTATTGAACTCTCGACCTCCCGCACAGCAGTCCTGCGCTCTCCCAATTGAGCTAACCAGGCGGCAGTTAAAGGGCGACTTAGGGAAAGGACAAAGAAATGCTTACATTCTTAAAAGAGAAAATAAAGAAAAATCTGTCTCTTAGAATCACAGGGGAGTTTCTTAAAAGTTTGGATAATATCATTATTAATTATATTTCCACAAATACTGATCCCTGCAGTTTGCAGAACATTTGTCACACTTGAAATGGAATATAGCAAGTTTGGCCAACAAACTTTCTCTAGCTGAGTTAGCAGAAATGTTGACCAAAAAATTATAATTCTATACTGTTAGTTGCTTGTTACCAGACATAAAAAAAGGCAAGTAAAGGATCAGTACATACCTCTCTTTTCTTAGCTTCATTCTTGTGATATTTTGTAAACACATAGGAGAAAAAGTTCCCACAACAACTTGCCACATGAACAAGAGGGCCCTCTTTTCCTAAGCTTAGACCTGCAGCCACGGCAAGCATCATGGACAGTGACTTGATAACAAGTGTCCAGCGACCAAGGTAACCACGAATGATGAAACCACTTAAAATGGTCTTGATCTAAAAACCAAGGATAGAAATATTATTGAGAGGGTAACTATTTTATGTAATCCACTGGGGACTGATGGAGGCCAAAGAGCTTCTGCATGCAAAAAGTCTCTGGAGTCTGTATTTAAACAAGGATATTACAGCTGTAGAAAAGGTTCAATGAAGAGCTTCACGACTAGCTTTAAGGCAGAAACATGGCGAAATGAGTTACGAACACCATTGTAGCTTACTAAAATGGTAAACACTGCAAAAGCGGAGAGAATTTCTATCTCTGCTTTAATGTTATAGGATAGTTTTTGGTATTGATCACCTCTCTTTCCCAGATTTCTTTGTGTTTGCTAATAAGCGTACAAGAGCTAACTACAACTACAAACTTTACCTGAAAAGAGTGGTTTGTTAGGGGCCAACCATTTAACTCTTGAGGGGGGGTGGGTGATTTTTAAGAAAAATTTTTGTAAGAAAAAAATTGCATGCAGCCCAAATGTAACAGAAAAAAGAGCATTTAGAAGGGGAAAAAATATCCTGCCCTGCAGATTGCTAGAAAAAAAATTTTTTTATGACCAGAAATCACCCACCCCCCCTCAAAAGTTAAATGGTCAGCCCCTAATTATTACAAATATTCTTTCTTCTTTCGCAATTTGGGGAAATGGAATGGCTTGCCAGGATACATTGTACACGCCAAATCATTGTCTGATTTTAAGAATAGACTTAAAATTCATTTGAATATTTATTGAATTTGTAGCCATTAAAATTTATCTTTTGTATGTTTTTAGTCAGGAAAATTGTTTTTATACAGGGCTAACCTCGCGATTTTCCCTTTTCAGGATGTACTTTTTTAATATTTGCATCGAAACTTCTTGAATAAATGTTATGTTGTTATCATAACAAAACCTTTCAATGTTACATGCCTGAGGCCACAGGGAGATTACACGTGATAGTTACATAACCATACTGTTCTTAAATACTGACGTAATATTTTTGATAATGATCATTTTGATAATTTTGTGGAAAGAATTACTTGACACCTTACCTCGGGGATACCACTTCCACAAGCGTAAGGCGCAAACCAACGAACAAGTGTAACAGCGAGAAGACCAAAGAATAAAGACACAACAATATAGAAAATATAGTTAACAACATAGGCTGCGGCTCCTTTCTCCGAGATATGAAACAAGCTCGACCACGACTCCCATTGACTACAACCCGTTCCTTCAAAATTAGTACTGTCTGACCAACAACAAGATTCTTGATTGAACCAGAGATTATCGGGGCAAAACCCAAGCTTTAAATCTGTCATCCAGGTAGTTCCAATGTCTATTATTCCGGCACACATTCCGGCTGATAAACCGACAAGAAGAACTACGAGCCAACCAGCCCATGCATCATTTGCTTGAACGATTCGCTCCCACCAGCTCCCTCTCTTCATCCTTCGCATTTCACGAAATCGTTTGCGTTCTCTCTGCCGATCACGCACCCAATCGATGGTGTTAAAATCATCGTACTGTGCCAGAGCAGCCTCTTCGAGAAAACAATCGTTCTGAACACTTCGAGAAAAGCGCAAATTGCTACCTTCGACTATAGGAGACTCTTCATCATCGAAACTTCCTAAAACGTTTTCAAGTCTGTCGTTACCCAACGAACTCCCAGATAAATCGGAAGATTGTCGATTATTTCGATCCATGTTCTGTTTGTTAATTACTCATCTCAAAAGTATTAATCAGGAAGTAGCAAATAAACGATAAAAAGACTGCACGAAGTCGAACCAACAGTTACTTACTAAAGGTAACCACGCCGTGCCTTCGACCAAAGCGAAACGTGGTTCCCAAGCTCTCCCAGACAACAACAACGTCCTATCTCGAAAACATGTCGAATTTCAACACGGATAGCAGCGTCGCTATCGATCAGGATTTTTTCGACAGTGGTTACACCTATGGTGATCAGAAAGAGCAACCTTATGATGGATACAGCTACGGTCAACAGTATCCAGATTATGGACAAACAGCCCAGCAGGAGCCGACGTACAACTATCCTTCTTCATCGCATACCCAAGGGTTCTACGACTCGTCGTCGTACAACTATAGCGGAAATTATTCCTACGATTACGGAGCTTCAGGACCCACGACTATGAGGTCCAGTGGACATGGAGGCTATGGAATGGAAGGATCGATGAAACCGCGCCAGATAAGCGAGGACTACACGAGTTTTGAAGACGAACCTCCACTTCTGGAAGGTATAAATACGTGGCACATGTGACGATGTAATACAGTTTCTTTCAAATTCATTGCGTTACTAAGAGGAAATAAAAAGTTGAAAGCAGAATACTGCTTCGGGAATTTCTGCTAACATTCAGACGACACGTCTTGTTTTAAACTGCATTCAGTGAATTAATTCTCGATTTTTGGCCAAGGCTTTTACTCTGGTTGCTAAACGTGACAGATCATATAAGCTTGCGTCGCTCGAAATATTTTAATGAGCTCACATGTTAACCGAATCAGTAACGCAATTTACACCTTGTAAGGAACAAAATCTCAGTAATATACAAAAGTGTGACATATAAATTTGATTGCAGACACTTCACACGTGTTAAATCTTTAGTTGATAAAATCCCCTTTTTTTTTTTCAACAGAACTCGGGATCAATTTTGAACACATCTGGCTTAAGGTTAGTTGTTTTCTTAGTGTCGGTGGAAATAAACTGCTTTGTTTTAAAATTTGTTCAAAAAAAGACAATGACTTGAAGCTGGTGTATGTCAATAGAGCAGAATACATTATGGTGTCGAGAAATTGTATTATCATTAATGTCTATGTACCTGCCTGATAGTCCATTTTACAGTTGTGTGCTTGGTTGCCAAGCCTTTGAATGGGAGTGAGGCTAGGGTTGACCTTGTTATGATACAAACCTTGCTGCCTTTCAAATGTAAATCACTTTGTTATCATGCTAAGTAGATACAGGTCTCTATCACAACAAGGTCACCTTCAGCCTCACTCTGAATCAAAGGCTTGGCAACTAAGTACACAACTGTAAAATGGCCTATTG